CTGACCTCCTCTGATGTTAATAAAGCTTGCATATGGATCCGCACGTCTCACGTCTTCTCAGCCCCGTAACATCAGCATCTTGATATGCCACACCTGTGAGGTGGATGGATTATCTTAAGGAAGGAGAAGTGCTCACTAACACAGATTTAGACAGATTTGTGAACAATATTTGAGAGAAATAGGCCTTTTGTGTACATAGAAAAAGTCTTAGATCTTTGAGTTCAGCTCATGAAAAATGGGGGCAAAAACAAGTTGTGTTTATAATTTTGTTCAGTGTATGTTCTGTTTACTTGGTTAACTTACAGCTATAATAGCCATGACTTTGTCCATATAAGGGATTTCCTGATTTTCGCTACTTCTATGACTGGATATGTGGATTTTCTGTGCGAGGGCGCCCTCTGGCGTCCAGTATGAATGAAACAGACATCATGTGTTTATAGTGCTAATGGCCAATTCATCATTTTTGGGGGAATTTTTTATTTTTTTTTATTTTTTTTAAATAAGTATCAGTTTAGGCACCAGAACCGTTTTAAAAGTATCGATTTGGCAATGGTATCGGAAAAAACCCAAACGATACCCAACCCTAGTCCCGCATGCTATTTTTCTTGCTATCGTTTCCTTTTGCTGTCATTTGAAAGTACAGTGAGCCACTGTGGAATTAGTGGAGAATTCAGACTGAATTTGTGTACTTTTCATAGTATAATTTGATGAAGGGCTTATGTCTCAGTTGTTGATGAAGTATGTTCTTTAGGTATCCAGGTGTGTAGAAAGAGGGGTTTTGGGGTTTTTTTTTTTTTTTTTTTTTTTTTTTCATAAAGATTGTATTTTCTACACAAGTTATCGTATATATTCCCAAGAAACTCGGCTCAACTCAAAAAAAAACTTTATCCCGGTCTTGTGTAAATTAAAAAAAGTTATCAAATTATAATAAAAATTATTTTGTGACATGATGCTCATAATTTGGCCTATCTATTAATTTATTAATTAAAAAATAAAACAATTAAAAATGCAATTCACACACACAGTGACTTGGATACACCTTGACTTGGCATGTTTTTACTTCTGAATTATAATTCATTTTGATAATTTTTTTGGTGATTATAATAAAAAATGTCAAGGTTATATAATAGTTCTGATATCGTAATGAAGAAAAAAAGCCTCATTTAAAATTAATTAATCTAATAAAATTCTTGAAAAGCTCGACTTGAAACTCCCCAATAATGTAATGTAATGTAATGTTTATAAATTAATCATCAGTGATAGACATTTTATTAAAATACTATTTCCTTTAAAAACACTTTAAAATATTTGTGAAAATTATGGTCAAAATGTGAACACCCACTTGTATTCAAGATCAAAAGTAAATAATTTATGAAATTCTATTTAAATAAATGACTTAAAAATTTCATGGTGTAAATATTATTTATTTTTCAAAATCAAAAACCAACAAGAATATACTTCCAAGAATTATTAAAATAAACTATATTTTCTATTCTTTATCATGGACACTAGTCCATGTCATTAACCCTGGTAGAATTTATTCCTCTATACTACACCTGCCATGTTGGCATTGTCCTTTGACCGATGACATAACAGAAACTGCAAAAATAATTTACTTGTTAAACCATTTCTTAAAGGGGTCATATGATGCGATTTCAAGTTTTCCTTTCTCTTTGGAGTGTTGCAAGCTGATTGTGCATAGATAAGATCCCTGAAGTTGCAAAGACTAAAGTCTCAAAACCAAAGAGATATTCTTTATCAAAGTTAAGACTCTGCCACGCCCCCCTAAAACGGCTCGTTCTAACACGCCCCCACATATCTACCTCACTATGTGGAAATATTTGCATAATGCCGCCCAAACGTTCATGCAAAGAAAGAAGGCGTGGTTTCAGGAACAGCAGTTAGTGTTGAAGCAGCCATGTCAGGGAGAAGCTGTGTGTTTCTAGGCGAAAGCAAAAGCACTATATTTGGCCTTCCGAAAGTAGATGCAATTAGGAATCTTTAAGATCACTTACAACAGAACAGCAATCTTTGTAGAAAACGACGCGTTTGAGAGAGGCGGGGCATAGAGGACCTACAATAATGTACAGTATTTTAAAAATAATGTGTTTTTTGAACATTAAAGCATGTCAACATATTCTGTTAAACCAAATACACAAAATAATTATCTTTAAAATAGCATCATATGACCCCTTTAATACCTGTTTGACATACTGCTTTTTATCTCCTGTGTAGCAGGGAAGTATGTCCTAAAAAAGTCAGCTCTGCTTTCTGAGTGACATGTTGGCAAAGATTATTTTGCATGAGGAGAAACGAGAGATTTGTTGTGCAAGTGAAGTCTGGCAGTGGTTTGCAGTGACGTATCATGTCTTGAGAGAGATTTACAAAGGGAGAGTCCTGAGGAATGTGCTGATCTGAATGGCTCTCACATGTGCGAGTAGAGCTGAACTCAAAAGGAGTAGAGCTGTGTTTCTACACAGCTGGTGTTTGGATCCAGGAAAGGGTGTTTGTGTGTATAGTTGTGTTTTTCTGACAGTGAGTGGGAGTGTTTGGCTGTTTAAGCAGCTATTTCACATACATTTCTTAAGAAAAGTATCAGTGTTTTTTTTTTTTTTTTTGTATGTGTGTTTTCTGTTGACTTTCATTGGACTGAGAGAGACCATGTAAAGCTCTTTGATTCTTTTGAAGGTCATAATGGCATGAACTGAAGCTCTGTGGAATTATGAGAACTCAACATTGAGTTTGGTTGCTAAATTACCAAGTCCTTCAGTGAGTTCATTAATGTGAATTAATGTGTTTGTGTCATTTTGGGAACATTGTAATCTAAAAAGACAAATACAGCAGAAATAAGTATTCCGTGATAGTTTTACACTTATGGCCACTTCTGCCATCTGCTGGTGAAGAGTGCTATTGCAGTTGTATCATGTGACTTAAAAAGCTGTTTTACGACTTCAGAGGGGAGCCTTTCTGGTATTTTTAAATTATAGAATTGTTCACCTAAAAATGAAAATGAAAGGAGACATAATTTACTCAAACTCTTTTTCCAAACAAATGTTTTTCTTTCTTTGGTTACACAAAAAATAGAGTTGCTTGCCAGTTGCCAGTGGCGGTTCGTCGGGGGAGGCAAGGGAGGCACAGCTTCCCCATAATTTTGAGGTGAAAATGGGAGGAGGACGATTTAATGTTAATAAAATTCACAATTCATTTCAGTTCATGTCTCAGAATGTGTATTTTTTGTTTGTAATTTCACAGGATAGAGAAGGGTAGGGGGAGGCCGGGGGAGAGCTGAGCTCTCGTGCCTCCGTTGGTAAAAAAAATTAGCCAATCACCATCGAGTGTTCACTTTCAGTTCTGAGGAGTGTTGAGAAAAGAAACCTCGCAGGGGAGGCTAGCCTCCCTTCTGATATCAACCAAGCATCATAGAGACGTAAATTACGTGATATTAGTTTGAACGTCTCCCGCTGCGCTGATAATGTACCAAGTACTTATGAGTAGCGATATTGAATATTTGATTGCCAGCAGATTTACCAAGCTGTCATTCAAACAGTATATATACAAATTTTAAAAAAGGGAAAACGGCCTAAGCTGGATATAGGCTACAGCAGTCGGCTTAATTAAATGGCGCACCAGGCAGCTCTCTTTTAACACAGACTTTTAAGAAGGGATGGATGTTTGCTTCAAGTGATTGGCCAGGTAAGTGAAATTATATTATCTTGCTGTATGCGTGTCGTTTTTATTTACGTTTTCTGACTAAAAGCAACCAAAAATCCATTTTAAAGTGGTTAAGCAAATAATAATAATAATAATAATAATAATAATAATAATAATAATAATAATAATAATAATAATAATAATAATAATAATAATAATAATAATAATAATAATAATAATAATAATCGGCAGGGATCCCAGACCAATAAAATTTTGTTTGCCGCCTCTATTTTAAAACCCACGAGCCACCACTGTTGCTTGGCAGATGTACGTTTTGTGCTTTTCCATAGAATAAAAACGGGTTTGGAGACTGTGGCTGCCAAGCTCCAAAAAACAACAGAAAAACACTATGAAACTATCAAAAAATGGTCCATATGAGTGGTGTACTATATTCAAATTCTTTTGAAGGATATCAAACCAAAATGTTGTTATTTGCTTGAGTATCGCTGTCATTGACATTTTCAGACTTGGACACATTGTGCTAGGGAGCATTATTAGTTGTTAACAGCTTGAATTTTATTGTTGTATATCCATATAGCTTTATAGCTAGTATTGGATAACTTGTATGGGCCACTTTTATGGTGCGTTCATTTACTATATTTTTGGAGCTTAACTGTCCCAGTCCCTGTTCTCTTTTATTGTATCGGAATTATTTCCGGTTTTCTGGTTCACACTTCTTCCTGCAACAGAAATGATAATAAAAAATATCTCGAACAAAAATTCATTATGAAATATAATTGTACAATTACTCAAAAACATCATGTTACCAAGAGTTCCACAGAGAATTAGTGTGTCAAAGATTTGAATTTCTGCATGACTGTTATGCAGTCGCATAATTATACATGTAGTATGCTTATACTGTAGCTAGGACCATATACATATGTAACATTTTATAGCAGTATCTATACCCGTCTCTCCACATTCTCTTATATAAACACAAACTGAACCAATGAATCTGTTGTTTCGACCTGCCTCTTGTTTCTGCTGGGTACGGCTTCAAATCTAAAAATGTTATTTGAATCACCAATCCCTCCAACAGAAGAGCGCAGTAGAGAGGCTGCTGGCACTCAGGTCAGCGTTGTTTATTGCGACTCTTCGTTTGCTGAGGTGAGCTCTTATGTGTACGCGTGCGTGGGTGATGCAGGCTGGGGTGGATGGGCATTTTCTGCTCGCAGTCGTCCGGCTGCATGAATAATGCATGAGTATATTCAGTCATCTGAAGACGCTGCTTGGAAAGCTCTGCGCTGCAAGAAGACTTCTGAACCAAAATAAAGGGCTTGATTGGATCAGGAACTCAATGGTTTTGGGTGTTGGTGTGGTTCAAGAATGCATCGGTCCATTTTAAGACGAGCGCTGAGCTGAGGAGTACGGCACAAGACGGAGACATGCCCAGCAGCATCTGATTAAACGCTCTTTCAGACTCCTTAAACGCACACGCTCTCACATTCACTTACACACTGCTGGATTAGATTTGCTGTATGATTTATGTTGATCTTATTGCAGTTAGGTGAGTGTAGCGTGTGCGGCAGCTCTGGGAGTTTCGGTGTCTGTATGGTTTGCCATCTCTCTCTCTCTCTCTCTCTCTCTCTTCCACATGCTTTGCAGACCCACCCACAATCTGTCTGGCTTTATACTGCCTCAGAAACCCACCTCACATAATTTCTTCACAACATTTCCAACGCTAATGGCTTTACTGCTGCTTTAAAGCTGAGAACGGAAAGAAACTTGTCTCCTTGTTCGTTCCCGCTCGACCATGTGCTTGTGAAATAGAATTCTGGGAGTGTCCAGCAAGAGAACTGGGAATTCTTGGAGTATCCAGAGAGAGAATTGGGAATTCTTGGAGTGTCCAGAGAAAGCACTGGGAATTCTTGTGGTGTTTGGAGAAAGTACTGGGAATTCTGGGACGGTCCGGAGAGTGAGCACTTTTGGGAGTGTCTGGAAAGAGCGGTGGTCATGCTGGGGCCAAGCACTCAGGACTGCAGCAGTGCATTGTCCTGCTTTGGCTGCTGGAATGGGCGAATGGTGGGCTTTTGCACATTAGCATTTTAACTTGTGTCATTTACTTGTTCACCATCCAGCACTCTTACTCAACCATTCATGTTTTCATCACCACTGACATCTTTGCTGGCAGTTTCAATTACAGTAATTGTTTCCATCATTCACTGATTGGGATGAAGCAGGTTTTTTTTTTTTTATATATGTTTTTGTTGCAGTTTTTTTTATGGATGCTCCATTGGAGTTGCATTTAACAACCTGCCCAATCTGTCACTGGCTATTAATTAAAGCACTTTATAAAATTAAATCTTCCACGAGCCAAGCGTCAACCGTTTTACAGTGTACTCATGAAAGGACTGAACGAAGGCATGTTCAGTCAGGTACAGTGTCTTCTGACCAAATTAAAGAGTTACATGTTAGTACTGAATGCACTAAGCGTGACCTTTTACACTACTGTTCAAAGGTTTGGGGTAGGGCTGCACAATTAATCTAATTTCTAATCGCGATTACAATTACAGATGCCACAATCACATAATCGTTCAAAGCGGCAATTAATCGTTCAAAGTCCGTTTTTGTTATCCTGCATGCTTAAGATGTGTTTTTTTCTTTCTACTGGTTATCTTAAGGGTTTTTTCATTGTTTTAATTTGAGTTTTAGCATAACATTATAATACCATGGATATTTTTTACTTTTTATTTTAAGAAGAAACCAATCCTATATATATATATATATATTTGACATTTGAGGCTTAATACTATAGAAAAGCAATAAGTTTTTCAGTTAGTGTTTTCAGCTGGTTTATTTTCATATAAAATATGGCATGCAGTTGCTTCAAACATAATTCAATGTAAATTGCGATAATCGTAATTAATAATCGCAATTACAATTTCAAGGGAATAATCGACAATTATGATTTTTGTCATAATTGTGCAGCCCTAGTTTGGGGTAAGATTTTTTTATTTATTTATGTTTTTGAAAGAAGTCTATTATGTTTTCCAAGGCTGCATTTACTTGATCAAACATACAGTAAACAGTATTATTGTGAAATACCATTACAGTTCACAATAACTATTTTCTGTTTTAATATATTTTCAAATGTAATTTATTCCTGTGGTGGGAAAGTTGAATTTTCAGCTGCCATTTTCTAGTCCAGCATCTGAATAACATTTCAGTTTTGCTGCTTAATATTTATTATATGGCAGCTTATAACAGTGATGCTTTTTTCAGGATTTTTTTTTATGAATAGAAAGTTCAAAAGAACAGCATTTATTTTAAATCATATCAGAACTTCAAAATAATATTCAAAACTTTCGTTTTCTGAGAATGATGCACAACTACATGTCACACACTCTTTCAGTCTATATCTAGATTCTTTAATGTTTATTCCTGGTTATCCACCCCTGACAACACCCCTGCCAGGAAATGCACTTACAGTATCATGATGATGATGATGATGAGAGATTGAGATGGAAGAAAGGGAATCTGGGATGTGTTTTGTGTGTTATATAATCATTTGCAGTTGTCCCTCTCCTTAAGAAACGGCCTACTTCCTGATTTATGCAGCTTCGTTGCTTTGTCAGGTGGTGTGACAGGCCAAAGCTTGCAGCAGCAGTTGTTTTTCTCTTGTGTTCATGCCATGTATCTTATGTCATTCATAGAGGCAGGTGTATTTGTGTAGATCATAGATCTAGTAATAGCTGTGGAGATCTGTCTGTGAAGATCAAAATTGTTAAATGCATCAAAAATGTCAGTGAAGCCTTTTTAATGTTACCAAAGATTCCTATTTAAAATAAATGCTGGTATTTTGAACTTTCTGTTCATCAATGAATCCTGAAAAAAAAAAAGTGTAACGTTTTTGACAAATATATTAAGCAGCACAACTGTTTTCAACATTGATAATAGTAAGAAATCTATCTTAAGCACCAAATCAGAATAGTTAGAATGATTTCAGAAGGATCATGTGACACTGAAGACTGGAGTAATGATGCTGAAAATGAAGCTTTGCCACCACATGAATAAATGACATTTTAAAATATATTAAAATAGAACAAAATTATTTTAAATTGTAATAATATTTACTCTTAATGACCCTAAACCTTTGATTGGTAGAGTATATTGTTCCCAATGTCCTCTACTGGGTAACTAATTTGTAATTCAGTATTAATTAAAATATTAGATGTGACTTTGATCCAGCTTTGGTTTGTAAAAAAAAAAAAATGTTTATAATAACCAACAGTCTTGTTATCCATTTCACCTACCAGCCGCTTTATTTCTTTGCAAGATTCAGAAATACTCATTTCTGACAGTTTTCTCTGTACAGCTTCAACCATGACACCTCACTGCCCAATGGTTCAATTGAATGTTATTTTTGAACAGGTGTGAAGTTACTTAACCGGCTCTTTTTCTTTGTGCTGTGTTTTGAGTGCAGGCTGAGTCAGGCTATGGGTCTGAGAGCAGTTTACGCCGCCATGGCTCCCTACTGTCCCTCACCTCTGCTGCCAGCGGCCTCTCCACCACCTCCGCATCCTCCTTCAAGGTGAGTCTCAGCCTCTGCCCTCAGATCCAAAGCTCCAACACGGCCACATTTTATGTAGCCAAATGTCTTGTCATGGGAGATGACATTTCTGTTTTTATAACAATTGAATATTCATTTACAAACTGTTGAACAGAAGGGATACAGCCTGCAGGAAAAGCTAGCGGAGATGGAGACCTTCCGGGACATTCTCTGCAGACAGGTGGACACACTGCAGAAGTATTTTGACAACTGCGCAGATATTGACAGTAAAGATGAGCTCCACCGGGACAAAGGTGAGGAAATAGAATTTTGTTACATTACAGTTTTATCTGACTGCAGAACCAATTTGGCTTCAGGCAGGAGAAAACTTACCATTCAGAGTCCTTTTTTAGAGTAGTGCTATTTTATATTGTGAAAAGTGAAAATTGTTCCAAAGCCTTAGACTTTCGTTCATCTTTGAAACACAAGTAAAGTAGTGCTTGCTTGATCCACAAGTATCAATGAATGAGGTTTGTTCTCGTTTGTCAAGCAAGCACGATTGAGCTCCTGTTAAAGGTCCACTAAAGTGCCTTGAAACGTGCAGCTTTATTCTATGTGTTGACGTAATTTCAGCTGAAACAGGAAGAGGGTGTGGGACATATTGAGCAGCCCCACCCCCTTTTTAAATAGTCAGTAGTGTTTTATTTATATTACATCTTGGGCCAGAGCCGTTGAGCTCAGTAAAGCTGCATTTGTCAGCTTTATGACAGCCACAGTCTAATAAATTACCCCTTTACATTCAATATTGATTAGGGTTGGAGCTAAACTCTACAAAAAACTTACTAAAAGCCGAAAAACTTGAACCATATTTGATGTTGTCTATGTTGTGTGTTGAATACTGTTTGTATGTGAATAAAAGCAGGGATGCATGATATTAGATTTTTACCGATATTTTCCAAATAGTTATGGCTGATACCGATATATATATTCCCTTTTTTTTTCTTTTCTTGAAACAACACCAAGTCTCTCCTGTGCAGAAATTATAAACAATTTGATTCGTTTTTAGCGAAAACTTATTTATTAGAACTAATAAACAATATTAAAGTTTTTTTTTTTTTATGAGAGTACATTGAAATCTTTGAAAATACCTTTAATAAAATCAATCTCTGTTGCTCTTTTTTACTTTTCAATGCATGAAATTTTTTCAA